CCCCCCCCCCCCCCTATGTAATGCTAAGGAGGGGGCTGTGTGAAATTATGTTTTCTCTAATCCTGTCTGTACTGTGATGGCAGATTATTATTAATTGTAAACTAGATATGAAGACTGTCCTAACAAAGGGTTTAATAATTGGCATTGTATGTTAATGAGAAGCTCAGTCTGTCCCTCTGTCACTTTCAAACTGCTCAGAGTAGTTTGCAATCTGCACAAAGCCTTCAGAAAAGAAACAAGAAAATAAATATTAAAAAATATATAGGAGGGTTATTCACAGTGACTGACCTAATAACCAAAGGGCCCTGGTGCAAGATTTTATCTTGGGCCCCCCTCCCAAGATGGGGGGGGGCGAGAACGGATCACACTGGCCCCCGACCCCCCAGCGGTCTCTAATGTTGCAGTAGCGTGCTGGACTTAACTGAGACCCTGCAGAGCACACCATAGATCCTGCATAGCCCACCTGAGACTCTCTATGCAGGGTCCCAGATGGGCTGGTCTGGTCGTCGGGGTCCCTTTCCCTGTACATCCTCCCAACTCTTACCTGCTGCTGCTGGGGCCTGGCCTCCTCCACCCCCTCCCCTGTCACCTCTGCCATGCCGCCCCGGTACAGTTGATACTCATGTAAGAGGCCCTCCAGGCTGCCCAGACCCCTCACATGGGTACTGGCCATACCCCCCTGCTTGCGGTGTTCAAAGTTTGTGACTATGTTAGAATGTGCAACCGGTGATGTGGTCACACGTTTTAACATAATCCCGCCCAGTTTTTTTGCGGTGGAATGTGTGACCTCCAATAGGTGAAGCATTCCAGGGCTTTCCCAGCTGTTCCAGGGCAGATCGGCATCGCAGATCCTATGTGCAGGAGAACCGATCTGCCTTGAAACAGCGGATCGGTCCTGAAATGTCACTTCTATCCGACTGCGATCTCACATTCCACCGTACTCACAAAGTCGGATAGAAGTGACATTTCAGGACAGAACAGCTGTTCCAGAGCAGATCAGTTCTCCTGCACATACGATTTGAGATGCTGATCTGCCCTGGAACAGCTGACAAAGCGTTGGAATTCTTCACCTATTCCACCACCAAAAAACTGGGCGAGAGTACGTTAAAATGTGTGACCACGTCACCGGTCAAACATTGTAACGTGGTCTCAAACTTTGATAAAACAGAGGCTCTGTTTGTAATAATTTAATCAGAGAAATAGATTATAATAGGGAACATTACAGTGTAATATTCCCCATTATAATCCACTTGTCTAATTACATTACAGCACACAACCCTCACCAACAAACCCCAAACCCAGCCAGATCCTCACCGCAGCTCAGTCTCAGACAGACTGTGTGCAGGGGGCGGATCCTGTGACTCACTTCTCATCTCCCGCTGCCTGTTACTATGGACGCGGCTGGGAGAGGAGGCGAGTCACAGGACCCGCCCCCCTCACCGAGAAGCCCGTCGGCAGTGCAGGGCCCCTGCAGTGCCCCATATAGCAGGACTGGACCCCACTGAGGCTGTGGGGGTGCCCAGAACCGGACCCCACTGGGCCCCCCCACAGCCTCAGGCCCCTGTGCGGCTGCACCGGCGGTAGTTCCGCCACTGGTTATTCACTAAAGAGCCGAATGTTCGGCTAATCCTTTGGCTCGCTTTGGCTGCAGCAACCCTTTAGTTTAGCCAAACCAAAGGGCAGCTGTACGTGCTATTCTCAATAGTGTGTAAAGCAGCAGAAGAACACAGCTTAGCCGAACACAAATGCTTAAGCTCGGCAAAGCTGAACACACAGCCGTAACAGGGAGAAAGGTCTCCCAGGCGGAACGACTCCCCACACATCAAATAGAAATAAAAATAGACTAAAAAAAAAAGTGCAGGGTTCCCTTTCCCAGTTACATACCAGGCCACATGCCCTCAACATTGAGAAGGTGCTTTTCTAGATGAGCCTCCCCCCTTACATTGCCCAGTGATTTAAATCCTTGTCAATCACGCTGAATGACACCTGCAGACTCAGCAAAATCCAAAAAGTCCAGCCATCTGCTACCGCCGAACATCCACCGCAAAATGACAGGTCCGGGCCGAATGTGAACAAAATGGGCTGAGCAAGTCATGATGTCATGTACAGTTTTAAAAGTTTTAAGCAGTGGTTAGTTCACCGCTGATACCTTGAGTGGTCCTCTTCCTCTGGGCAGCATCTGCTGCTGTGAGGCCAGGCGGTGAGGGAGACCGTGTCTACTATCACCCTAAAGGCGGTGTCCAGTCTATCCCTGAGCCAGCAATGACTTGGGATGCTGGGGTGATGAAGTTGACACTGTAAACACAGACTCTAAGGGTTGGTGATGCAGCTATGAATTTAGCAGGGTGCTACAAACGTTGATGGCCCTCCAACACTAACTGCTAAAAGCTAAATTACAAAAGCAATTTTTTTATGCTATAAAGTTTTTCACATCAACATGTTGTAGAGGCAATCTTGTACAACCCCAATTCCATAAAAGTTGGGACACGGTATACAAATCTACATAAAACAGAATACAATGATTTGCAAATCCCATTTTATTCACAATATAATAGAAAACATATGCAATGTTTTAACTGAGAAAATGTACCATTTTAAGAAAAAAATAAGGTACTTTTAAAGTTGATGGCAGCAACATGTCTCAAGTTGGGACAGGGCAATAAAAGGTGGCAAAGTAAGTGGTACTAACAAGAGCTGGAAGAACATTTTGCAACCAATTAGGTTAATTGGCAACAAGTCAGTAACATAATTGGGTATAAAAGAGCGTCTTGGAGAGTCAGAATGTCTAAAAAAAGAAAAGATGGGCAGAATAATCTGTCAAAAGCTGCATCTAATAATTGTCGAACAATTTCAAAAAAAGTTCCAACGTAAAATTGCAAAGACGTTAAATATATCATCTATAGTACATAATATCAAAAGATTGAGATAATCTGGAGAAATCTGTGCGCAAGGGACAAAGCCATAATGCAATATTTGATGCCCTCAAGACGGCACTACTTCAGAAACAGGCATGATCATGTGATGGACATCACTGCATGGGCTCAGGACTACTTCCAAAAATTCCAGCCTGAACAGAGTTTGCTGTGCCATCCAAAAATGTTAAGTTAAAGCTCTACCACACAAAGAAGCCATATCTGAACATGATCCAGAAATGCCAAAGTTTTCTCTGGGCCAAAGCCCATTTAAAATGGTCTGTTGCAAAGTGGAAAACTGTTCTGTGGTCAGATGAATTGAAATTCAACATTCTTTTTGGCAACTATGGGAACCACGTCCTCAAGACTAAAGAGGAGGGACTTCTAGTTTTTTATTAGTGCTCAGTTTAAAAGCCCGCATCTCTGATAGTATGGGAGTGCATTAGTGCGTATAAAATAGGCAGCTTGCACATCTGGAAAGGCACCATCAATGCTGAAAGATATATCCAAGTTTTAGAGCAGCATATGCTCCCATCCGGATGATGTCTTTCAGGGAAGGTCTTGCACATTTCAGCAAGACAATGCTAAACTGCATACTGTACCTATGACAACAGCATGGCTTCATAGTAGAAGAGTCCCGGTGCTTAACTGGCCTGTCTGTAGTGCAGATATTTCACCAATTGAAAATATATGGCGCATCTTAAAATGGAAAATACTACAAAGATGACCCAGGACTGTTGAGAAGTTGGAATCCTAGATCGGGGAAGAATGGGACAACATTCCTCTCCCAACTGTTTACAGAGTGTTAAAAGTAGAGGAGAATCCCATCACCAGAGAACAGTGGGAGCTGATCTGGAAAACAGCAGCTAAATCATCCATATGCTCGGTTTACAAGGAGAACCAGTACAAGATACTGTTCCATTGGTATCATACCCCGGATGTCTTGTACTCGATCTTTAAAACAGGGTCGCCACTGTGTTGGAGGGGGGATGCCCAGGAGGGGTCTTTATTCCACATATTTTGGACATGTCCCCGAATAGTCCCGTATTGGAGAATGGTACAAAATACCTTAGAAAAAGTGCTACAGACTACTCTCCCTTTGGCCCCCATCCATTATTTGTTGGGCCTCCCTTTTCCGCACCTAAACATGCTAATACATTACTGTCCCATATCCTAACAGCAGCTCGCTGTCTCATAGCATTAAACTGGAAACGAATATCTCCTCCCTCTCAGTTGGACTTATACAAGCGGATTAAAGAGATGCAAACTATGGAAAATCTTACAGCTAGACTAAATGATACTTTATCAAGATATGAAAAAGTATGGAAACCTTGGACTGATTTGGAGGAGGTTATTCTTTAGGTCTGGGGTGATTTCGCAGGAAATCAAACGTGATCAAACAACCTACTATGGATCTGAGGCTAAGTAGCCTGAGATGCATGATCTTCCCACAGTACTGACCGAGAGCTGGATTGAGACTGACGTGACAAAAGTTTTGTTTTGTTTCATTTGGTCTGTTTTTAGTGTAATATTTAATATAACTACGAAGTATAGTATATACAGTGTGTTCCAGGTTAGCAACTTGAAACTTAAGTATGACTAAGAAGAAAAGACGGAAATTTTCTCTGGATCTCTGGATATGATAAGCTTGCGTTTTATTAGCAAATGTACGGATTTACCTTTCACTTTATTGGTTGCATCTTTGTATGGTTATGATTGTCACTATATAGTGCCTTGAATATCTGTAATAGTCTAAGAATTAATGGAAATGTCTTGATTCTTCATTATGTAACCTGTTGTTGAAAATTTATGAAAATAAATAAAAACGTTATTAAAAAAAAAAAAAGTAGAGGAGATGCTATACACGGTGGTAAAACATGGCCCTGTCCCAACTTTGAGACATGCTGCCATCAATTTCAAAGTTAACTTATTTTTTTTCCTCCTTAAAATAGTAAATTTTCTCAGTTTAAACATTTGATATGTTTTTATTGTGAATACAATATGAGTTTATTTCCGGTTGTGTAGATTTTACACAGCGTCCCAACTTTTTTTGAATTCGGGTTGTAATATAACAGCAAAAACATGTGAAAATCCAAAAGTTCTCTTATTTTTTGCATGTGGTTTCATTGCAAAGTTAAGAACTGAAAAAGTGTCTTGGATAAACCGCTAAATGTCCAACATTACAGAACAAGTCCAATTGAATATGATGATTACTACTAGCTACTTAATGATCTAGATAAACATTCACAAACACCCAAGTTTGAATGTAAAATGCTTACTTTAGGCTGAAATTGACGGGCAAACAGCAAATACCTCTGAATATCCTCAATCGAATAAACTCTCTCTATAGACTCCTCATTGCGTGCATGTAAATCAACTATCCTCCGCGCTATTGCATAGTCTGTCACCT